TTTTATTCTCTTCAGAAATCTTGTAGAATAACATCATAATATAACATGTTATTTTTTCAAAACAAAATTGAAAGTGATGATAGAATACAAAATAATAGATACATATAGATCCAGTATCATCCATAAAGTTCGAAACACATGGAGAAAAAGTTTATTAGTAGAATATCGAAACATTTTTTCTTGGAGATCTATTATGCATGTCTGACTACTTAAAAGTCAATTTTGACACATGTCACTTGATCAGTGGTATGGCGGTAAATTCAAAAAATTACGATGGCAAAAAGTGGGGTTGGATGGGAAGATGCCAGATGGAGTTATTAAAAAAAAAAAGAAAATAGCTATTTTTAGTTTTCTCAAATAATGGCTGGAAACTCCATATGTGAGCATGAAATTGAATTCTATTCAACTTGTACATCATCAACATCACTACTGTCAGAAAAAAAAAATATGTTACAAAATTGAAGAATATTCGAAAAAAGATAGCTATTTCCAATTCTCCTCCAAGAATTGCTCGAAACTGAATGTGGAATAGCAACTTAATGAGAAATGTTTATGGATATTTTGTTATCTAACCCCACTTTTCGTCGCTTCATAGTATTATTTTTATTTATCACTATACCAGTGATCACGTGACATGTGTCAAAATCGATTTTCAAGTTATCGGATATGCATAATGGATCGCCGAGAGAAAAAAAATCGATGATGTGATAATAAAACTGTTCTCATATGTTATGGACTTTATGGATGGTATATATCTGTTAGTAAAAATCTCTGTCATGCTTGAAATAACAAAGTCTTGCCAAAATACGATCGAACTTTTCAGTTTAAACTAGCTAAAATCAAAGGTATAATAGTGCAATTTGTCTCATTTTTGAAAATTTTAATGAATTCATATGACTTTTTCGAAAAAAGTCAATGGAATTAATTCACGAATTAAATCACTGATTTAATTCATATGAATTAATTCATGCCAACCCTGTACTAGAGTCCCTCATTCTGCAAATGCACCACGTGATATTACGATATCTCATGTTATTATTAAGTATTTCGCCCTTCTCTATGATGATCAGTTTATTTTCCTCAGGTTGTACTTTTCTTTTTGATTTGTCAAAGTAATTTTTTTTAAGGGAATGAAAGTCATTAGGTATTGCAAGCTTCTGATTATACGGCAGTTTTCGCAGAAAACACAGGGTTACTTCGTGATATTGTTCTTATTTTTTCTTGCATATTACGAGTCATACCTTGGCTTAGTTTTTGATTCTGTGATTGCTCCTGACAAAATACGCACTTTTGTGAATCAAAAGGTGTCCGCAAGGGACGTTTTTGAAAAATATCTGCTCTACAAAAATCTGCTGGAGAATCAGCTGTCAGTTTGTTATTTTTTGACTTGTACGAGGCAATGTTCTTTGAGCTCGTATACGATTTATAACGGTTTTTGTGCCATTTTAAAAAACTTTGATTTTCTAATTCATCAAACTTTGAGAATATATGCCGCATATATTTGTCATCATGACAATTTGTCATACGTTCTTTCGTGAATTCAATGAAATTTATTTTCGATTTTTCATGAGAGATAACCAGCTTTCCTCCTTCCAAACAAATAAGACACACATTTTGAATAAAAACGTCTTGTCCATTGACAGTTTTACGAAAAGAAGCAAGTCTTAATTTGATTTTCGACTCTAGTTCACTGTCAGAGCTGCTGCTGATCGTTAAATCCATTTCTAGAGGATACAAAAAAATACTAACTGTACGTAATACTCACTAAGTAAGTTCTAAATATTGTTAACTTAGCAATAAGTTATTATTCGCTTTTAATAATATGATTTATAGACAAGAACTTTATCACTTATCACTAGTAATCTCAGTGGAATCAGCGCTACCAGAACAATGCATTCGAATTTACAACAAAACAGTGAATTCACGGTAAAATCGACCGTATCAACATCGCCCTCAGTAGAGTGGATTTTCGGTTGACACAGGCATAGCAATCTCGCCCTTCCCCGCATATCTGCGCTAGCCGCCGTTCGTCGCGACATGCCGTTCGATTTATTCAATTTTCTCGTGAACCAATTATCCAATCAAAATTCTAAAAAAACCAACATGTTCTCTGATGTTTGGTCTCCAACGTTTATAGAAAGCTTTTTTTTGCTAGACCCAATACTTTTCGAGGTAGAGCGAGTTAAATGATTTTAAAAATATGGGTGTCCAGGGCAAGCGGTTTTGTGTGAAGGCTCTCCATATACAACAATGCTGCGACGTATTTTTATAAATTGAAAAAAAATATTTCTGATATCCGTATGGGTATGCAAATTTGAGGAATGAATTATCTCACATCTTAGATCTGAAAACCGATGAAAAAAAAAATTGGCTTTTTTTTTTAAAAAGGCTCCCCTCACTCCCCTCCAACTACGATTTTTGGACGACCAAGTGATTTTGCATTGCAAAGGTCTTAGGAATGATAAAAAATGGGTTTTACATTTTAGCAACAAAGTGCCCACGGGATAGCACGATAGGATCCCGTTTAAACTCTACTATCAAAGAATATTCGCGAAAATCACGAACCAATAGATGGCTCTATTAAACGTCAAATTAACGTCAAATTTCAAACTAAGTATGAACAACAAAAACATTGCCGTTTGCACTCATTGCAAATTGGTTATTTCGAAATCAGTTTGCAAAATAGTGAATAATAAGTTGACTTCTTCAAATACGTACAAGGTTTCCAGTATGGAAAAAATTACTTTTTGTGCAGAGAGATTACCATTTTGATGTGGACAATGGTGTGGTATTCATCATTGATATCATACTACAATTCCACAGTTTTCAAACATATCGAGGAAGCAATCAGCTATTACAACAATATGGTATTGGAATGAAGAAATAATTGAATTCATCAAGAAATATCACTGGCTTCCATGAAGAAGATGGAATTCTAGTGAAGGGGTTGGAAAAAAGATATGGTTGGAGAGGCTGCTATCAGAATGAACAATATCATCGATTTACATAAACAAGGATCTCCAGCAATTGAGGACTTGAAGTTATTTCAAGATCGAATCATTGCAACCAACATTTATACAATAATTCTAATTGTGCTTCAGAAAATGTATATTATATTATTATAAGGTAGGTACTGGTTTCTTCATTGAAAACAATAAAATTTCATGCAATAATTCGAGTTTTTTCATCAGGGAAAAATAAGGTTCTGGAATATGCACTTCAACAAATAAATTATTGTCGAATAAAACACATAATTATGAAACTCGAAACAATGGTCGCCATATTTGTTGTCATTGTTGTTCATACTCGCAAGACTTGTACAGTTAGCCACCAGAGGCCGCACACTTCGTGATTTTCGCGAATTCTTCTTTTTCGCCGGATGACATAGAAGAGTTTTATAGATTTGTAGATTTTTTGCACCTGGCTTCATGAACCGTAGGTGGTCATCTAACAACAAAGTTTTAATAATTTCAAATCGAAAATTTCCTTAAAATATTATTTGAACTCGCCCTCATCAATATGTACAACATTCACATCACATTCAATACGCCGTTGTGGCTTCGCTATCGTCAAGGTTCCCAAAGAGTCTGGAGCTCCAAATGAGCGGCTAGTATCCAGAAGATGTTGCCAAAAACGCCGTTTCCAGATCCACGCTGACGTGGATCTTGTTTCCAGATTTCCTCCGCGTGAAATGCGCCATGAAAGTAGTGACGTCATCTTTTCGCGTGGATCATTTCCTCTTGATTAATCCACGTTGAGGTCGCATTCTCTTATGATCAATCCACGCTAATTTCGCGTGGAGCATTTCGTTATGATTGGTTCTTGAACCCCCTTGTGATCAATCTATGGTAGATAGATATAAATTTTATTAAATTGCATCAATTATGTGAACAGAAACACGTTATTTTCTGAAGTAAACATGCTAACAGATAAGAAACAATTCAAAGCGTCACTATTTATTATCATCACTATTTATTATCAGATTTTGAAAAACTAGAGAGCAAATGAAATGACCTGTCAGATACTACAAGGTGGCATCGACAATTTTTTTTCATTTTCAACTGTAGCTACAGCGACTGTCAGCTCTTTTTTTCGAATAGGATCATATATTTTTAATTTTTTTTCTGAATATAATGATATAACAAGAATCTGATTTGATAAAAAAATTTATGAATACATCCATTTCTTTTAGATTTTAGACGGAAAATATTAACTTTTTTCAACTAAATTTGCGCGAGTCGACTTGCTATACATCAATGTATTGAAAAAATCTCTACCATGGAATGAAAATTATGGAATACCTCTAACTCTCTAAGCTAAATAGCGTGGATCAATCAAAAGGGAATGCTGCAAATCACAAAAGAGTTATTATCCAAGAGGGTAAGATCCACGTGAAACGTTAATGTCATTACTTGAATGACGTGCTTCTTGACACAGCATTCAAAAAAAAATGCTTTCATATACAATGGTTGCATCACAATCAAAACGCCATTGCGGCTTCTCTATGATGACACAATCAATACGATATCTCGGCATTGCGATTGTAAGGGTTCTCGAAGAGTCTGGATCACCACTCGTTACCTGGGGCACCACTTGGAGGCTGGCAGCCACGGAGATGCTTCCCACAAAATCAATAAGCCGTAGTCATATTGATATCAACTCCTACGGCACCACATGAAGGCTGACAGCTACGGAGATGCTTCCCAAAAAGTAAATTAGACGTCGCTGCACCGCTATGTAGGAGGTTTTTGACATGTCTGAAACAGTACTCGGTACTTGGGGGACTACTTGGAAGCTGGCAGCCGCGGAGATGCTGCCCAAAAAATTTCTGTCACATCATCGCCATGTTAAAGGTTCCTGAATGGCAGCCACGAATATGCTTTCCCATAAAATCACAGTCACATCACCGTTATGTTGAAGGTTCCCAAAGCGTCTGGAGCGCAACTTGGCACCTGGGTACCACCTGGAGGCTGTTAGCCATGGAGATGCTTCCCATGATATCAATACGCCGTCGTGACATTACTATGGTGAAGGTTCCCAAAGTGTCCTAGAGGATCTGGCGCGACCGGCGCCGGCTGGCACACGTACCAGTCGCTGAGGGAGGTGGTACCCGGCACCTGGGGAACCTGGGGCACCACGTGGGGGCTGGCAGCCACGGAGATGCTGCCCGCCGAAGAAGAGTTTGATTCTTCGCCATCGCTCTCGTAGTGGTGGGGGGACCTTCCGGAGCAGCCGTGGACTTTCATGTGCTTGCGCAGAGAGGAGGGGTGCGTGTATGACTTGTCGCAGCCTGCTATGCGGCAGTTGTAAGGCTTGTCGGAGGTGTGGACGTGCGAGTGCTTTTTTCGATCCGAGGAGTTGGCGAACCTTCGGTCGCAGCCTTCGAATTCGCACTTGAAGGGTTTCTCGCCTGGAAATGAAAAATAACAACAATCAAGGATGATTAACTACGAATAAAAAGATGAAATCTTATAGCCACCACGGACGTACGAATTATATTTTCTACATTATAATAAGATGAGAAAATTATCGAAAATTTGAAATTTTTAACAAGAATTAAACGTGCGTTGGCATCTTTTTGCAAACATTTGATTTTAAAAAATCGCGAACTTAGTGGTTGTCTGGTAATTTGAGCATCCGCGAAGTGGAATGAAGGATAAAAGGACTTGCAGTTCTTTCTCGGAGACGGTCTCATTGGCTTATTTTTAGCACAACAAATAAAAGCCAGTATATGCCCGGGAGAAAAGTTTGGTTTTAATTGCTCATCCGTATTATAAGTTATAGGAAGTAGTTTTATGACTGTGAAACAATTCAACGGGAACGAAGACAGAAGGTATCTAATTGTTGGAAGATTATTTCTACAACAGGTGGAATCAACAGACTCATTTCATATTTCAGTAAGGATAAAAGAACATAATTATTATATTGATATGTGAACAGGAGTTGAAAAAGAAGTAAATAATATCATTTTGCAATAGCCTGCATTTTTCTCACTATGGAGTCAACAGCTTAGCTGTTCTGCTATCTTGTTGTAGTCAATACTTGATTTTCAATTCTTAAAACTGAATATAGAAATGGTGGATATAAGATCGAATGAATACATTGAATGATTTTTCTCCTATAAGATTAATTTTTCTATGTGTTTCTCAGGAAAGAGGAGTGAAAACTCAAGATAACTGAAAAATTGAGTCAAGGATGAGTGTTTCAATCCATATCTGCTAGTTTCTGCTAAATCAATATGATAAGTTATTAAATAATAATATAACCCGATTGATCAAGTTCTTCGAAATATTGTTTATGTTGCATGCGTGGTAGCGCGTCGATGTCTTGAATGATTTCATAGAACACCAAATTCCACCTTATGTGTTATTGGTGCAGAAAAAGTTGTTCGTTGTTTTTGTATATTTATTATTAGTCATTGATTCGTTACTGAATTTCATCTTATTAATCTAAAAATATTCTTTTCATGTGTGTGGTGGGATGAACCAATCTCTAGAATATATTACGCGACGAATAATTTCAGTTGTTATGTCTTGTTATAATAGGAAGTTGAAGTGCTGCCACGAACGTTAAAGTAAACGTAAACATTGAAAGCTACGCATGCGCATTTCTCGATTTTCCACGTTTGCGTTGGTAGTGGGCTTACGGGTGTACGTTATTTTGCGTACTTTCATGTACACCTTGAATATCAAGGTACGTTAACCGAAATACGCCATTGAGTCAAGATTATTGAATCCTGGTTCTTCAAAAATTTCTTTCTCAAGGATTCCGCTCATTTTCACACGAAAAAAAGTTCAGATCAAACCAAACAACCAAAATGGACCAATATAAACCGGATGACACTGATGACGTTAACGTCGATTCGTTGTACTTCAACCCTCTAAAATTTGTTGAATTTGAAAAAATACTTTCGCACAGTATTTAACTGGAAAGAGAGAAGTTTATAACTCTCAACTGGTTACTGGCATCAGTTAGGAACAGTTCTCGTTCCTAAGGGTTACTATAAGTACAATAAATGTGACGTGCAAGGGTAGAACTTCCATAGGTCATATTGATAGGAATTATTCGTTTTATCTTAGGAAGCTATGGAATCTGTCATATACCAAAACACCTTTTTGTCTGTGCTCGTCGAATATCCGAAGATTTATTCGTATATCTACGTGGTCGAGATATTGTAGAAAGGCGGTCGTTTATCAAATTTCGTCCGCTTCAGCGACTCCTCTCCCAAAATTTGTGAATAATAGTGTCGGTTGCGGTCCGCCGCACCAACAAAAAAGCAATAAAAGGAAAATTTACTACAGTTTTTTCTTTGAAGTAGGCATCTACTTGGCATGTGAAGAGCCGTTTTATTTATGTCGGTTTACCTGGAGACCTATGTCCATCAAAGGCTCGACTGTACGCCGTATAAATTAAAAGACGTTTAACATGTTGTTTATTCGGATGTAAGGTGGTGTCTTAGATTCACCGATTATGTTCCTTTAGAATTGATTAAAACAATTCTGTCACGTCAGTGAATATTTCGTCTCAAATGAATAGGAATAACATGAGTTTATACAGGGTGTCCACAAAACAATTCGATAGAAGCAAACGCACAAACTTGCTTAGTTTAGGACCGGGGATATACAGACTTATAGGAAAATTATAAAAGTTAAGCAAGTCAAGGTTGGTTCAGTTCATTGTACTAGTATATCACCTGACGAAGCTACTGTGTTAGTGAAACATGTTGTGTGTTTAAGAATTTTGTGTAAATATTATCGTGTGTGGAGTTTTTACAACTACTAATGTTGTTTGTGTAGTTATTTGTGGTTTAATGGCCAATAGGGCTACAATGGTAATTTGTTATAAAAAGCTGATCGCGAAGAAAATTACCGTGAAATTCAATTAGATCGCATTAATTCACTGACGACCCAACAATGCGTACCCTTTCGGAAATCGATTTGTAATAGAGCGACCGCAGACTTAAAGTTTCACAATTTAGTTGTTACCGCATTTCTGGCGAGTCATTCTGAGAACCATTAATAATTTGCAACACACCTTAAATTCATCAATAACATCTATTGAACTGGACCAGCCGGGACGGAATATTTTGAATGTAATCTTCAATCGTAAATCAATGTCGGATTTGAACGGATTTCAGGATTCGGTGTGGTACCACTGGTACCTTCATTCTTCAACTTCGGTATGAATATGTCGATAACCAATGGAATTTTAACCTTTCGAGCACCAGGTATGTAATACAACAAGTGTATTGATGATAATCACAAATCCTTCTGATTTTGAGAAAAACAAATTATGTTGCTTGGAAACCACCCTAGCGCTTAGCGCGAGTGCATGTAATTTCCTTAAGCAACATAATATGTTTCGTAAAAGATAAGGCATGTTCAATAATCATCTATAAAATGAGTTGGTTTTGTTAAGATTATTACACTCATTACTTATTTCATGGATAAAACAATAATTTTATCTCGTATTTTCATATGCAGTTGTTGCGTTACGCATACATAGATCCATCAAAGAATTCATGGCGTGACCACTTGACTATGATATTAACTGTCAAATGATCCAAGGATTCTCCGGTTTGAAATCATGCTATGGTTAGGACATTGTCGTTCTAGATGACAACCTGGTTAGGTAGTTAGTAGGCAATAGCTATAATACTACTCGCGTACTAGGTCGCCTACTAGGTTTTCATTTAGATCGACAATGGTTAGGAGGTTAGCAATTTACTCATGCTCATGTGTTTTTGAGGTTGATATTAAAAGGGTTCGAAACTCCTATCATTCAAAATTCTGAAATTCTCGGATTAAAATTGCTTATCACGATTTTGTGTTGAGTTCCTGAATATGAAAATATTATGGCATCCATGACAGGAAAACGGGTAATTAGACAACAGGTATTCGTAAGAAATATCCTTCCGTACTGATCTTTTTCTCATAAATTCTAAACGGCTGAACCGATTGGGTTGAAATTCCATATGGGTATCTCGATGGTTTCCTGGATGATTTAAAAACACAATTGGATGCGGTATGAGGCGCTGCTATTGGTGCTTCAACTACTAAACAGCTTGACCAATTGGGTTGCGACTTGTAATACGTCAAAAAAAAATACATAAGATACTGAGAGATGGAAAATAGGTGCAAGGATATAAAAGTAGCTATATAGGTGAGCACAAAAAATTCGAAAAAATAACAAAAACATTTTGTACTGTAGATATACGCGCAAAGCTCAGAACGAGTGCAACAAATTTCTAATTTTTTTTGAAATGGCTACACCAACCGTGCGAACCCGGCCCGGACAGCTAGTATTTGATAAAACTATACCAATAAGGAAGTGAAATACATAATATTTTCGATTATAAACACTCATAAACGTGTGTTTTGAAATGGGTGGAGTAATCGAAAATTTTACCAATAATGAATATCGTAAAGATAAAGAGAGCTAGGTACATACATTCCAGTTTGAAGTTGAAAACTTGAATCCAAAGAAATTGTGATGTGATTATTGTTTATTAATTTATTCCACATGAAATATTACATTGTATAAAATCGATATTTCATGAAAAGGTATGCGTTGTTTCATCAGAGGACAAAGGAAACATTAATATGAACTAAATTTGTAACAACACCAGCTACGTTTTATGTGAAATTTCGTTTGTGAATCTTCTATATTCACTATTGATTTTCATCAAGTAACTCTGGAGTGAAAATTCCAAGAGGGTGTTTTCGAATATGAAAAGTAGTTAGCTGATCTGACGATTCTGAAGTCCAGTTAAACTCAATCGATATACTACTCAACATATTTTTTTTTAGAAATTGGCGTTGGAATTTTGCATAAATATGTTCTCCCATACAAATTATTGAAACTCGTTAAGACAAAAAAAACTGAATGTTTATACAAAAAGATGAATAAACTGATTTTGCATTTTATGCATACTAGTTTGTGCTGCATCATTGATCATAGTTTCATACAATAGGCGAGTTAACTTTCTTTTTCAATTCTTTGAATAGAGTCATCACTCGAATACCTTTCAAGTTCATATTTTTCAAGAATTTTTTGGTCGATTTTTAGATTCTAAAATCATCAATAATGCCCCGGTAATTTTCAAACGACCAGAAATTTACTACCAGTAAAAACTGACGCCATGATTTCGTAAGTATAGGGGCATCAGGCCATAGCACAGTTGCCATGTGTCGAAATACGATTGGGAACTTCAGGAATATTATTTATTCAATTCATAAATTCTCAATTGGGTATCGGTAAATTGTAATATTCCTAATTAGCAATAAAAATAATAAATTCGTGTGAATAATAATTATAGTATTTCACACTAGATGACATTTGAATCAATGAACGTGACAACCACGGCGCACGACTCGTGGGCGTGGTCTTGTCAGTTCTCAGCATTCAGCA